CCCCATCTTCCTTCCGAGGAGTGGCTGGTGGGTTTGAACCGCCAGCCTTCTGGTTAGCAGTCAAATGCCTTAGGCACTATGCTACCAGAGCTCCCTAAATTTGTATTACCAAACACAAAAAAATTGGATCTGACTCATAGAGACCCCTCCTTGGATTTCTGAGGTGGTATCACTACAGAAGTAGATAGTCAAACATAGGTTAGATAATGTATTATATCAATGTAAAATTACCTAGTTTTGATCCCTTTGCTGTGGTTATATAAGAAAATGATCTTTCTGTATACTAAAGTATTTGAGAGTAAGGGGTGTACTGTCTCCAGCTTACTCTCAAATGGTTTTTTAAAAAACCCACGAGAGTGATATGACAAAGCAGATGGGCAAAATCTAAATATTGGATCACTCTGGGTAAAGGATATGCAGGAGTTTCTTATACTATTCTTACAACTTTTCTGTTTGAAATTATATCAAAAGAAAAGTTACCCCAAAAAATGAAAGGAGAAAACAGGAAGTGAAGGCATAATATTTTATGAATTTCATTTTTTTAAGTCAAGTGAAGGATTGTTTCCTGTGCTCTGATTTTTTTTTCCCCCTTACTATTTAGGGCTTAGAGGAAGGAACTTGAAACAAACAAAAAAAATCTTATCAAAAATAGGTTGGTGCTCTCAAATGTCAAGATCTGGCTGTTCAGAGCTCCCCAGTTCCCCAACCGCCTAAAAATTAGGCACAGTATTTTCCTCTCAGTGGGTTGGTTAACCAAACCAAAACCGAACTCACTGCCATTGAGTCGATTCTGACTCATAAAATTCCCATTGGGTTTATGAAGTGGTGAATCTTTATGGAAGTACATTGTCCTGTTTTCCTTCTATAGAGTGGGTGGTGGGTTTGAACTGCCAACCTTCTGGTAAGCAGTCATATGCCTTACATTAGTGCCCCCAAGAGATAAAGATGCCCCTATTGAAAGTTAAATGGGGTTGGTTATATCATTTACTTGACCAAAATCTTAAGTGGCATGCTGATAGTAACTGATTTTTTTTTTTTTATGTCAGAACTCAGGTAACCCTACTTTCAAAGCAAGGTGCCCATGCCTACCTTTCAAACTTTGTCTTATGCTACCCCTGCCAATAGGAGCTCTGGTAGCATAGTGGCTAAGGCACTTGACTGCTAACCAGGAGGTTGGCGGTTCAAGCCCACCAGCCACTCCTTGGAAGGAAGATAGGGCAATCTACTTCCGTAGTGATACTGCCTTGGAAACCCTAGGAGGGGTCACTGTGAGTCGAGTCCGACTCGATGGCATACAACAGCAACATATATGCACCATTGTGTTCTTTAAAATAAAACGGAAAACCACAAATTATGTAATATTGACATAATCATGATCACTTAATTTTTCTGGGCCTGATGAGTATTTCTTAAATGGCATTTCAACATCTTGAAATGTGTTACATTTAAGATACTCTGCTTGGTGGGTATGGTGTGCAGTAGTTCATCAGAGGAGACACATGCACAAAATAGCCCATGTAAGACAGTCTCCGTTCCTTTATTTAAGAGGGACACTGTCGGCTCCATGCCCTAGGATTAAGATCAGTGAATTTTAATGACTGCCTTTTTGATTGCCTTCTATGTAAATTTTACCTGCTGTAAATATTTTTAATATTAACAAACACTGACTTTGTAGAGAGCGTTTGGTTCTGTGTAGCTTAATTCTTTGAGCATTTATTCCAAAAGAGCAAATTGCTTAAGAAAGGTAAAGTCAGTTCATCACAGACCATATTTCAGGGTGCAGATGGTGATGAATCATTGTAGGTTTTATTCTGCTGTGCCAGTTTCAGTGTTGCATACCTAAAACCCAAAACAAATATGTGAAGGCAGTTCTGGTTCACATTTTTCTTCCTACGACCAGTAAACGAGTGTACATATTGATATTGTCTCATTTTGTTTTAGCCTTTTCTGATTTCACTGGAACATTTTTTGCCTTTTAAAAAGTACATTATTGCTACTGAGTTGTATTACATAAAATATGCTAAGCAAATCAAATTAGTCTATATAGAATTCCTTTATGAGAACTATAATGAGTTTATTTAAATGCTGATTTATCTTTCCTGAATAAAATTGCTTCATTTGATGAATTGCTGTCTTGAGAACTTGATTGATTGGAACATTATTTGGCCATCAAAACCTTATTTCTGTTCTGTTTTGTTAACAGTAGGTGCCTGGCAAACGTCCTAGAACTTTAAAAACGGAAAAGACCTGCTTTTAAGGGATAATGCTGAGGGACACTATGAAATCTTGGAATGATAGCCAGTCAGATCTCTGTAGCAGTGACCAAGAAGAGGAAGAAGAGATGATTTTTGGTGAAAATGAAGATGATTTAGAAGAGATGATGGATTTAAGTGACCTGCCTACCTCACTTTTTGCTTGCAGTGTCCATGAAGCAGTGTTTGAGGTACAAGAGCAGAAGGTAGGCATATATCCTACTTTCTTTTCATCTAGTCGTATGAAGAGCTTGGAGCAGTCTGGTGCCCATTTGTCAGCTTTGTTACTGGTCCATAAGGAATTAAGTACAGAAAGTCCCTGTCAACCTTTAGACATTGCTATAGCTTCTTTCTATAATGTGTTGTATTTTATAAGAGTATCAGTCTGTAGCAGATAGGACTTTTTTTTTTTTCCTATTTCTGTAATTTTTTTATTGTGATTTGAGTGAAAGGTTACAGAGCAAATTGATTTTTCATTCAACTGTTCATACACATTTTGTTTTGTGACATTGAATGTGGTCCCCATAATGTAAGAGCACTCTTCCCACTTCGTGCCTGTGTTTACCATTTCTATTCGTCCTTCTTTCCTATCCGTTCCTACCTTCTGAACTTTGTTCTTGGGTAAATACTATTCTTTTGATCTTGTGTGGTTGATTGTTCTAGGGAGTGTGTACCTCCCTGGTGTTACTGTTCACCCCATAGGCCTGTCTGTTGTTTGGCTGGAAGTTCAGCCATGGGGATCAGATGGGACATTTTAAAAAAACTAATTGTTCTCACACGGATATTTTCATAAGCACTGATGTATAGTAAACTGTATTAAATCCATTCATTTGTTCATTTATTTATTCATTTGGAGCCTGTAGTTAAAGAGAAGCTAGTGATTTTTAGTCTGGCTTCCTATCACTTGGGAGTAAATTGACAAAAGAGGGAATTTTTTTTTTTAAAGGAATTAATTTAAACCCTTTTCTTGAGCTCATTACATATAACCTGTTAAGACTATTTAAAATTTTATTGTAACAGAATTGTTATCTTTTCTTATATTAGTTTCTACAACTTGACTGGAGAAAATGATTGAGTTTATTTTTTAAAGGTTGCTTTTCTTTAGTTCATTTATTATTTACCTGGAAAGAGAGGGTTTGTATGTTTTTGTTTTTTTTTTCCATTATGACATTACAAAAGCCTATAGGTCTCAGTCCTACAGAAGCATGACATTTCTGCCATTGGTTATACATTTTACCTGTTCCAAGGCTTTTTCTCAAAATACTATCATGAGCCCTTTAATTTTCTATCTGTTTGCTGGAAGTATTTTCCTTCCAGTGACTTTCTTGGAGCAGAACCCAATACAGTTTGACTCAATACATGCTTGAGTGCCTACAGTGTGATGTGTACGGCACAGTGCCAGTTGCTTTGGGGGAGAGAGAATGAATTAAACAGCTCTGCCTCAGATAGTTTACAGTCTTGTCATGGGGTTGACAAGTAATTATGATACAAGATGGAATATGAGAGCCCTTAGAGACATTTGAAGGTAATGTAAGATACCAAAGGAGAGAGGATCGTAGTCGTTAGAATAAAAGACCTCGTGGGGAGGTGGCATTTGGAAAAAACTGTGAAAGTTGGGTAGGATTTTAGCAGGAAAGGGAAGGAAAATTTCAGCCAGAGGGAACAGAACGAACAAACGAGCAGACTTGGAAGAGTGTGAGCCACTTCATGGGGTCACAGGCAGTGCTGGATGGCTGTTGCATAGGTAATAGGCACCAAAAGTCAAGAGAAGTCGGGCTGGAAAAGGGAGTGTGGTGCCATCCTACAAAGCACCTTGAACCTCAACGTAGGAGCTTGCCCTTCCCAGCAGAGGGGTGATAATCAGCTGTACATTAGGCAGATCCACTAACTGGCGGCGTGTGTGCGGCAGAGCGGTGGGAGGTGAGGCAAGAAGCAGGGAGACAGGTCGCGTGCTGCCCTTGCAGTGACCCTGCCCAGGACTGATGAGGACAGTGATGTGGAGCATTGGAGGGAAGTTGTACCTTTTTGAACTTGTTTTTATTTACAAATGCTATTTTCTTTCCCAAGTTCAGTTATTACTTAAAATTTTGAAATCCTATTTTCTTGTAGTTTTCAAGAGCTTTTAACATTCATACTATAATTAAATTAACCTTATTGTATGTTATTGTATGAAGCCATGTGTACTACTGGTTTATCTTCACATTGTATTCGTGAATTCTTTCAGGGACTACACAGTCTTACCTATTTCAGCTTTTTAATTGTAGATTAGAAAATATTTTGACGTGTCAGAGGAGTTAATTCTTGTTGATTTTTATTTTTTGAAAAAATATTTGAGAGTTATAGCTAACCTACTTTATATTGGAAATCATCTCAGAGGAAATTCCAGTAACAGTTCAGTGGACTTTTAGGTTATGTACAATTCTTAATCATAGTAAATTATATGTAATAACCTTAGCAATAGTGAAGTGGCAAAGTAAAGAATTGGATATATTTTATAAAATTATATGTGGATCATCAGGTGGATATAAAACATGAGCAGAATCAAAATGTTTTCTTTACATTTTTTTCTCAGCATGAGTGTCTTATTTTGCTTTAATTTTTCCTGCAATAACTCATTTCCAAGTCATCCACATAAGTGCAATAAAAATCTGATGGGATTATAGAAGACTAATCCTAATTACAATTTAACACTTCATTTTCAAAAGATTTTTCGTTTATTCCCTGACTGTAAAAGGTTTTTGTCTCTATAATGGATTGTTGGAGCAAGCTTTTATGTTCTTCTGAATTGTAGACTATCACAGGTACCATTTTCGGGTAGGTGAATCTTCATTATCAGTTGCTGGATTTTGGTTCTCTGATTACATCAGAAAGTAGGGGCAGGAGTAAAGAGAATAATAAGCTGGTAGAGTGCAGAAAAGGCCTATCCTTGTCGTTTCTCATCCTGTAGCAGCGTGGTTGTTAGTTCCACATATGCTCAGCTTTGCATGCATAGCCCCTCTGACAGATCTGGATTCATGACAATGTGGTTGTATTTACTTGTTTATTGTTTTTAATCCCAGCTTTCCCTTTCTTAAAATAAGGAAAATTAAGGCTTGCTTCTGATGTGAACGTGTGGAGTTCTCAAGTTACACTTTGGGTTCTTGTAAGAACTAGGACTGTTTCTCTCTGGTTTGCATAGTATTTGAGAAATGTTAATGCAAAGCAATATTCTAGATAGGATTGACCACAAAGAAATGCAGTAGAGCTTTGGGACTATAATCCCTTTGGAAAGTACTGCCCTTTGTATAGAAAGTGGTTTCTCCTGACCTACTTGTCATAGGACATACGATTTGAGGTATTTTTCTAATGATAATGGTTGTGGTTTATTGAGACCTTTTTTCTTTTCTTCTTTTTTTAAAATTTTTTATTATGATTTAGGTGAAATTTTACAAAGCAGATTCATTTTACATTCAACAGTCATACACATGTGTTTTGTGATGCTGATTATATTCCCTGCAGTGTAACAGCTCTCCTTCCACTTCATCCCTGGTCCCTGTGTCCTTGCCTGTGCCTTCCTGTCTCCCTGCCTTTCTTCCTGTGCAAATGCTGCTCTCCTGATCTCCCATAGTTGATTGTTCTCAGGAGTGCATCGCCCTGCTATAGTTGCTCAGCTTGTAGGTCTGTCTATTTGGCTGAGAGTTAAGTCACAGCACTGAGTTCATCTTCAGGCCTGAAGGGTGACTCAGGGCCATAGTATAGTCTTGGCCATGCCACCAGTCTCTGTCTGACCAGTATGGTCTTTATGTTTTTTTAAAATTTTATTGTACAGTTTTTTCTCCTGTTCTATCTATGGTCTCTAATTTTGATCCCTTTCTGAGTGGTTGGCATTGGTAGCTGGGCACCATCTGATTCTTCTGGTCTCAGGGTTATATAGGCTAAGATTCTCATAGTCCATTAGTCCTTTGGACTAACTGTTTTCCATGCTGCTTTGATTTGCTTCACTCTTCTTTGCTCCAGATGGGAAGAGACCAGTAGTTGCATCTTATGGCTGCTTTCAAGCTTTTAAGACCCCAGTCACTACTTACCGAAATAAGATGTAGAACAGTATTTTTTGTATACTATGTTGTGCTAATTGAGCTTCATGTCCCCGACTATGATCCCTAACCTGCAAGCCTAGCATCTCACTCCCTCAAGATGCTTAGTTGTGGCTAACACAAAAGTTATCCTAAAACAGAGTTATCCTAACTTTGCCCCTGTTCACTTTGTTCTGGTTCCCTAGTGCCACTCTGACAAGAATATACCACAAATGAGGTGCCCTTAACAAACAGGAGTTTATTATTCTCTTACAGTTTGGAGGCTTTAAATTCAAGTTCAAAGTGCCAGACTCCAGGAGCTGGGTGAAAGCCCCTCAACCTTGGGGTCCAGCTCTGCCTCCTGCTCCCAGCCCACTGGAGCTAGAGGCGTTTCTTCACTCAGACAGCTGCTGGCTGTTGAGGCTGACAAGTCAAAGGTTGACAAGTAAAAAGGCACAGTCCTGATGTTACCAAACCACATGGCAGGCCATTAATTGAAGTCCATTGTAAGTCCCAAGGTTGGCAGAGCATGGCAGGCTGCTGAACAGTGACACAGCTACATGCAGGGTCCAAGCATGCCATAAGCTAGAAACTATCCCCAAGATTTCTCCTTATATATAGGAAGCTGTGATAGTTGAAGATGTGTCAACTTGGCTGGACTCCAGTTGTGAGTGGTGGTTCCCATGATGGATCACATGACTGGGTTCTGAGCGGCCGGTCTGCCCGGGGGGAGTTTCCCCGGGGGTGTGGCCTGCTTGCAGTGCTATTCCAGGGACAGGCTGGAAGAATGGCATTCCGGACTATATACTTCCTTGAGTGAGCGGCTCGCCGCTCGCCCTGGAGGTTTCGGATTCATCCTTTGTTGGGAACAGCAACCAGTGTGCTGCGTGCCAGCTTGATTCTCTCGGCTCTGTTGTGCTTACGGGAACCAGGCGGCTCCGGGCCTCATCTCCTCCAGAGACGAACTTCGTGGCTTGAACTCCTCTGCTGTGCGTGCGAAAGCCAGGCGGCTCCAGGCCCCATTCCCCTCCAGAGACGAACTTTTCAGCTTGAACTTGTTGGCTTCTACACGCCTGTGAGCCATTTACCTAAGATAAATCTCTCTCTCTCTCTCTTTCTCTCTCTATAAATATATATATACACTTTGCTGGTTT